GTTGAGTTCTTGCACGATCATTGAGTAAAAGTTTATTTATTTTATATCAAATGGCANGCGTTTTGATGGTTATCATTAGCCCTTTAGTTGACTTTAGGCTTCACAGAGGGGAAGGAACATCAAGGTGCAAAAGTCGAGAGGGGGAACAGAAGAGTGTTTCAAAGGTGCAGAAGAGAGAGACACGAAGGTAGAGAAAAGATGAGGTGGGTACTGTGAAGTAGTCGAATATGGCATACATTGGGATCATGGCAGTTTGAAGTCAGAAGTCAACTGCCGGTTAATAGACTTTTTCGCCGTATGAGTATACGTTACCCAGGGTGCACCACGTGGAGGTAAGTCTATCGCACACTCCAAGGATTTCACTTTAACTCCGGGTAAATGTCCGTCAATTGTCTTTACTTCGATAGTAAATCTCTGCGTTTGCTTTATCAAAGTTCCCCATTTGCTAATTTTATTCGTCCTTCGATCGGCTTCTTGACTGCTTCATCTCCAATTTTTTGGATATTTTAGCTTAATACGATTTTAATTGTTTGAAATCGATTGGCATTTGTTTCTCTTGAATTAACGCAATTTTGTTGAATTTAGTTTCAGAATTTAAAATTATGAACCTATTGCTACTTTTATTCTATTTTTAATTTTTTTCTTCCGTAGAGGTAATGCCAGATGATGATGTTGGAAATACCATTGTGGAGATCTTTGGTTTCCGCAGCTATGTCATGACCCAATATCGCCGCATGATGTACTGGGTACCCAAATTTCGACACGCCAATCCCTGGCCTGTTGTTGAACGCCTCCCAGATGACCTTGAGGGTGAGGACGCAATCCGATTGGCTCACCTTGCTGCTGCTCGTATTTGCCCCGATCCAAATACTGAGTTTTTCACTACCGTTTTAGTAAGTAGTCGTTTTCCCTCAACTTTTGCATTTTTCGATTTCAAGTTCTGGTAAACTAAGTTTTTTAGAGTGAAGAAACGGAGAAATCAGCACCTGAAATCCCAAGTATTATAGTAAATGCTCAAAGTCCAACTCAAAGAGCTTTGCTTTCTGCTTATTTGACCACTCTCAAAGACATATCGACGTCTTCTGAATCTCGACTTCTTTACCTGGATGGTCCTCAATTCGTTTGGTACCGAGATTTGCAGGTAAGCTTTCCAACATTTGAAATCAAATTATCGTCATATTTCTTTAATCCATTTTGAATCGTTTTATTAAGCTCTCATACTATGTTCTCTGGGGACATTTGGATAAACAGCGCTTGCAGACTCAAATAAAGAAAAGTCAAGAAGAAAAGGAGAAATTGAAATCAATTTCTGATCCGTCCTCATGGGATTACCCTATTCCTGGTTCGGAAAGGGAGAAATTTGTCCCCCTTGTGCCCGTTTCATCAGAGGATAACGCTCTACCTTCCCTTCAACCACGAGGACAGGGTGTGTTAGTTATTTTTACTAATAAATTAGTTAATTTCTGTGACCTTGTGTCTTGTTCACTGTTGAGTATTACTTTAAGGCGCATTCCAGTTGCTTAAGTACCACAGTTAAATAGGTGAGATGTAAATGTTCCCTACTTTCCTGAAATAAGTTTCTTTTTCTCTTTTCATTTTTCTTTCTGGCTTGTATTGATATCATTTTCTGAATTATTACGCTCCTCTCAATGGTTTTTGTTAAGGTCGTTGGATAATCTTCCCTTTAAAATGGTTTATTTCATTCCAGAATTTGTTATTTGATTCAATGCTTGCATCAAATACTTCAATTAAAAAAGGAGATACACTATTTCTGGTTTGACGTCTAATCGATGCCAAATCAGGTTTCGACCCAGAAAAGTAGAGTCCCCTAGAAGTTGAGCAGTGATTTGTGTTAGCTTACTCTTGTAACGGGTCGGCTAAAATATGGCCTTGGTGACTGGTTACTGACCCATTAAATTTTTACGATCATTTTACTTACTAACTATTACCCTCTCGAGGAAGCCCTATTCGGTGTAAGTGAACACAATGTTGATTATTCATCTGTGTTTTCGTGTTTGGGTCCATTTGTGTGCAGCAGGTAAAGTGTAACTACTTGGAATGAAAATTCTTACTTCGCCTAATAGTCCCAATAGGTAGGTATAACTTGACCACATTTACGAGGCCATATTTTATTTAATTCTAGTACTTAATTTTTATCAGTAGTGGGTCGGTTTGAAATCACTATCATTTTGCAGAGGATGACCTTCTTGTTCCACGAGTTTCCAACGTGGAGGAAAGTATAGCTTGTCTTCAACCAAAAAAGAGTTCTCTCTCACGTCGAGGGAGCGTAAGCGTAGCCGAACGCCGACGAGCCTTGTGGAACTTTGATCTCCAACATCAATCCGCCTCTCTTACACATCTTCCAGAATCACTCAGTCGCCATGAGCAGGGCGAAGGTACAATTCTAGCCATTGGGGTTGTTGCTCCGGTACCATCCGCTCTAGAAAATCAAAAGAAGGCGTATGGAGATGAAGAAACGTCAGGAACTCACCCGAACTTTCTTCCTTTACCTGCACCTCCTTCTCTTATTCAGCAATGGCTGAATGCCCTGCGGAAAGCCAATCCTGCTTTGGATCGCGCTACCGTAGTTATTCGCAATCAGACTCCTTGATGAAAGCTAGATTTTTTGTATAAATTTGGGTAGTATTTTTCGCTTTGTGAATACAAGTATCTGTTACTTTGATGCACTATTGTCTTTTCTTGCTCGTGATATGGGACGTTTTAGGATCACGGCTATCTTAACCCCGAAATTATTGTGCTTGGTAATTTTTGTATTCACTTAAAGCTGAGTAGGCAAAATTTATTTCCGTGATCTTTTAAATTTCATTGGATGGTGTCAGTGTTGGAAAATGACAATGATACCTTCGCCAGTGACGAACACAGTTGCTGTGTCAGAGATTATAGGCGCGACACTCATCGGCTTCTGATGATGTCGCCAGCACGCCAACCTCCTGCTTGCTCTCCTGTAGTTTAGAGGACAATACTCAAATTAGTGGTAATTAGAACGATGTCTTTCGAAGCACATTCATGTTTAGGAATGACTAAATTCTAGCAAATGTTGGCTAGCAGAGAAAAAAACATAGTGTGTGTTTCATGTGAGCGGTTTCAAAATGAAAGTGGAGAAAGACACTTCCTTTTAATGGAACTGGAAACTGATATAGAAGACACGGTGGAGCTCTATTCTTAAATCCATTCCACCGCGGAGTGCCTGTTTTGAGGTATCATCATTCCACAATTGCTTGTTAATTACTACAAGCGTTGGCAGTTAAATTAATTTTCCAGGTTGACAATCGATATCATTAACAAAGATACTGACAGATTCCTGGTTAAGATTCAAACTCTCTTGCCGATGATAACTCGATTGAAGAGTGAGGTAAAATAATCCCTATGCAACTATTGATGTACCTATGGGTGGCCAAATACGAAACTTAAAGCGGGGAATACTCAATTATTCGGAAAGTTTATTTATGGCTACGAGGAGAGCTTGGAAAAATAGCAAATCCATTACGGGGGTTCAATGAACCCAACTCGGTTTATCAAAAATGCTCGATTCTGGTTCATATCAAGGAACAGTTTATAAGCGCATAATTTCCATGCATATGGTCATCATGGGCATAAAGTATGTATCAATTACCCAATATTTTACTTTTTTTTCAGACTAAGTGAATATGCTCAAAACAGCTTGTTCAAGTTAGGACCTGTGTAGTTTGTGAAACTGGCATATGTTTTTATGAGACATTAAAGGGCAAAATAGCGTTTAGTTTAAATGAATATTCATAGGCATCAATGCCATAAACACTGTATTTTGCAACTGACTGGCTGACTAACCAGGCTCATTGGTCCAAAGTTCACGGTGTTCTGATCGGTGATTCGCTACACATTCCACGTGATACTGTTGGCCAAGGCAACCTTTAAAGCTAACCATCGCCTTTAGACTGGCTAAAAGGGTAGTATTCATCTTTGAATTTATGCAAATTTGTAAGATAAACTTTCAGAAACACATGCAAGCGAATTAACAATTTCAAGACAATATACTGAGTGCTACTCCGTATTCGATTCGTAATGCAGTTAAGTATTTTGCAAATCGAAGCAACTTTTCTTTTACAAATTTCCAAACTCAAATTACTCAAGTGGGGACTTACCGATTAGAATTCCTCTTTCGTGAAATTTGCCTTTCAATTCTCATCGGGTAAGTGAGAAAGCGGCTATTCAAGCGTTTAAACGTAATCATATTAGTTCATTCTCAATGATGCTGAACAGCGAAATTAAAAAAGCTTTAAGTTAGAGCTGAACTAAGTATATAATATATTAAATGCGGCTTCGATCAAATTTCTAACTACTTGAAGCATTCGTTGAACCCGCTCTTCTTTACAGTTTATCCATTTTTATCTTATTCGAGGTAGATCCGCTTTTGAAGGAGAAATAGAGGCTATTAGAATAGCACTATGCCAATTATGTTACCTGGATACGAAATTCACCAAAGCGGTGATACTTTCGGATTCACAGTCAGCAATAGACTCTATTGGAAACAGAGAGACACCCAGAACAGCTGAGATAAAGGAATGTAGAAAACTCTATGAGCTGCTGAGAGAGAAAAACAAAGCAGTAGTTTTACAATGGATTCCTGGTCACTGTGGCATTAAAGGCAATGAGCTTGCTAACACACATGCTAAGAAGGGGACAACGATTTTGCGATGCATGGACCGGCCGATGTCTTTCTACACAATGAAGGCCTTATTCAGGAGAGAATTCCAGACCTCAAGGTCCAACGAACTCGAAGCTCGAAC